ATTGCGGATACTTACTACTACTACTACTACTACTACTACTACTACTACTACTTGTTGTAAAGATTGGATGTCAAGACTGATTTTTGTTAATTATTTTGGTATAGAATACTAATATTTTGTGTATGGTACCCGTTTCTGATTATTAATTACTAAGTTTAATTAAACTTAGACTAAAAATATGTTCGTGAAATGTAAACTATTTTTTTATTATTTCGGTCGAGTTTACCGACTGCCCTTCCCCCAGGCCATCTCCATTGATGATAGTGACGACTTTAAGGTGCCCACAAAAAAAGAAGAAAATTTATTTTCTTCTATTACTATCAACTCAATCTGAGAACCCACGAGCTGCCACTGAACGAAAATTATCTAAAAATATCAATTTTTGAATAGTTCGAATGTCATGAACAGATGTCGCTGCGATATAATTTCGGATCCAAGTACTAAGAATTTATTATTATGCCCTCCTATTTTTACCCAAAACGATCATTAAAAGTTAAACATTTACCGATGATAATTTAATTTTATAAACCACTTTTCGATATTTTATTCGGTAATAAAACGTTCAACTGTGGATATAATTCTTTTCGAGACTGATATAGGTACATTGTAACTTAATAGTTGAAAGCCCATAAAATTCTTCATAAACGTAAAACTTCATGACAATCGGAAAAGTAGAAATTTACTATAAAATGTAGTATTCAAATTACCAATTCAGCACCTCTTCGAAAATGTAAAATTTTAGTCTGTTCACTTTTTTAGGGCTTTCTCAAAATAATGTTTTATAAATTGCGTTATTTTTTGTATACTTGTTCGTCGAGGACTACTGTACTGTTTTTAAACTAAGCGGAGCAATTTAAATTTAAGTTAGCAATTCTGTAGACTCCTGATTGGTCAAATTGCAGTCAGTTTCACACATTACTTTTTAGCTGATAATTGTTATTGTTGACATGTTGACAGTTCTATTCTGACATTTGATATTTTAAGTTTTGTTATTGCTTTGATATCTCATCATTATTACTTAGTTTTTTATTTTATTTCTTTAATAACAGTTCTTTTCAAAACTTTAGTAATTGTATTGAATTTCTACGATTATAGATCCTTCTACATCGAATACTATTATATTATAGCAGTTCCTTGCGGAGTCCATCAAAACAACGAAAACGAATGAGTTTAGTTCTCGCTGTGTAAAAAAACCCGTAGTTGTAAAACAAAATCGATTATTTTTGCTGAATTGTGTTTAAACATCAAATTTTCAGCAAACTAAAGATAAAGATCAAACTTAGGTCGTCTTACTATTGCAAATTTGTTATTTTCAATTAAAAAACAATCATTTAAAATAACCCCTCTTACTCTTACTTCATCTCAAACTAGTAAATGTGGCAACGTTAGATCAAAGGTCCCCACTCAGAGTGACCTGACCAAGCGAAGTTAACTGTAAATTACGTGCGATGCACAAAATAGCGCGGTTTCAAGCGGGCACCCTATTTGTTTCATAAATCTGTTGACCTCTCGTTCTAACTACAGGTATTTGCGAAAACCTCTTGCGTTCGATTATCATATTGCACTGACAGACGAGTTCAGCCAGAACGCAGTAGCGTACCCAAAAATTTGAGATGAACACGTACGAAAATAATAAAAATATTAAAATGTAATTTATATCTTGAAAAAAGGACTCGCCTAATTTTAGATACTCATAGGGAGTTTTTTAAAGGGCATATCAACTTGATACCTACCATTTTGCAATATTTTTGTTGTTTTTTGAAACAGTGTTCCGGCTAATTCGTCTTCAGACGACCGAATAGGGGTGACTTCGACCTCTTCCTGGTCCCAAAATTTTGTTAGAAGAGAATCTAGAGTTTCCTCTGAAGGAGAGTTGCTTATCGCGAGAAAAGAGTGTGAGTTTTGCCACTTAGTCGTAGCTAAGCAGGATTCTGGGAGAGTACCTGACAAAATCCAACCTAAATTTGATATGCCCTTTAAAACTCCCTATGAGTATCTAAAATTAGGCGAGTCCTTTTTTCAAGCTAAATACAATCATTGCAGTTAATATTAAAGCCCAAATGTCTCTACTTAATCGCTCATGTTTTAAATAATTTATGCGTTTAAGTCCCGCTTGAGTTTCATTTCTTTGTAAATAGTCATTTTGTTCATATATTATGTACATATAATTTGAATAAATATTATACTATAGAGGTCCGCCAAATTGATTTTAATTATTATTATATTACAATGGTCTTTATCTTGTTTTGTTTATATGATTAATACAAGATTTGCTATCATTGACACATCTTGTAAAGTCATTAATTATCATATAGCCGCTGAAATAAATATTGTCTTGACTGAATTTAAATAAAGTAATCTAAAATTGAGAATATAAGTAATTTTGTTTCAGGACCTTTAGTCGATTAGGTACCTATATTTCCAATAATAACTTTTCCGATAAAACTTTATCGCGGAGACTTATCTACCTATATGAAAAATTTTAAATTTATTTTTTCTTATCGTAGCTTTGGGCTTTGGGAATACAAGCATTATCAATCATAAAGTTACGATGTATTTTTCCTGTTTCAGAGATCCGATCCTCGTTCATGAAATAGAGTGGAACGGAATAGGATTGTTCGAAATTGAAATGTATAAGGAAAATTTTAAAAAATTAAACCGTTATCTAGCCACAATAAGAGTAATAAGTTTATAAACTTTTTATTTCTTTTTTTTTATAGTATACAACATGATTCACCAAAAAAATTATTTTTGTTAAAAAGTTCAGCATCACTTGGAAATCCATGATCAAGCATCAAATTTTGTAAAATAGAATAATTTATTATAAATATACTTCTTCGTTTCCTTCCTAAAACATTGTCTAAAATCTTTTTTTGTAATTAATGATTTATCAAATTTTTTCTAGATAAAATATCTGTTAGAATATAAATTTGGCGTATTAGAGCTCTTAAACGTCTAATATTGTATTGTATGATTTATAATAAGCACTAGATATTCTTCTGTATATACCAGTTACAAGTAGGACTGAATCATCGGCATATCAAATTAAATGTCCAATGAAGTTATTTTTCTGAATGATATTATTTATGAACGAAAGAAAAGTATTAGACCTAGGACTATTCCTTGAGGAATACCAATTTTTATTTCTGTGTTGAAAATGATTTACTATCTCTGTTCTTTTCCTTTTGATATAATGCATTGCTTGTTGCTGTATTTGCCAAGTGAGTGGTTGTTTTCAGGAGGGAAACGGTCGCCAGTCGCTTGATTTTGCTGTGACACGGACTTTTCTATTTTCGTTTGATATTTATTTTTTAAATAGTCACATTTGAGAAAATGGAATTATTTCCTCTCAAAATATAATATTTTTATTTGTAAAATGGTCACCTTTGTTTACGTTTTAAATAAACGTTTACCCCTATAAACAAAAATGTTACAAGTCAATCGTGTTGTGGCACTTGTAAAGGTTAATGTGCACATATTTTGGGAAAAAGTGTCACAAGTCAAAAAATAATTTTTATATTTATTGATGTGCAACACTGTCACAATCCAAATTAGAACAGTTTTTAAAGGTATCTAAGTACTTTTTCATCCCTTTTTATAAAATAAACTGTTCCTTTTTTGAGATATGACTGTCTTAAAAAAAAATTATTTTAAAAAACTTATAAAAAAATTTAGAAAAGAGCCTCACAACTCAGAATTATTTATAAAAATCAATAAGTAACAAAAATGCAGGAAGCAATATTAACGATAAATTATATTAGAAATACTAAATACTACCCATTTAATCATTTTATAAAAACCTGAACGTTATACAGTTATTTTTTCTTTTAATATTCACACTAATGTTATTTATAAAACTTTAATAAGCTCTCCTGAATATTTTAGTATTTCGACCATTTTCATAGAACGTTGGTTTATGAATTGGAATTCTTAACAAATGATCGTGCCTGGTTTGGCAGTTATGTTGATCAACATTTTTTATAAATTCATTGGCAAGCAACACTTCCCAAGCTTGGAGAAGTAACAACAGTCCTAGCAGGTCATTGACAACCTGGTCTATTTTAAATGTAGCTTTCATATTTTTTTTCTATCTCTGTTTGTGTATCACTCTACTAAATACCTACATAAAATTGATAGGTATATCTAAAAAATTTACGTGCTTGTCTGATTGAAAATTGACGAGCTATTTAATAAATATTATATGAGTGTAATGATTTATCGTATTATTTACACAGTGGGATGCATGATCGTAATATTTGAAATACCAATATTATTGGTAGGTACATTAGTTTTTACTTGTAATGTAAATTTACATAATATCAAATATCTTTAAAACACAATTAATTTTTCTAAATATAGGTTAGTTAATGTTCAGAGTACTTGCAAACTGATCAATTAAATTGAATAGTTATTGTTTTTGTTGCTATTATATAGGCATTGTCTGCACTAAGTAGCTGCAAATATATCGGATAGAATAGATATGCTTTGTTTACATTATACTCCGGATCCCGGTCAATTTAAACATCAAAATAGTGATCAAATAACAAAAATTGCGACAAAGTTAAATTTTGGTAGAGACCTTGAGTACACCAGTAGAAATAAAGTGCCAAAAGTCCCCATTGATCCCATGGGTGCTAAAAAAATTATTCAAGGTCAAAGTCAAAATTTTCGGTTTTTTTATATTTTTTTTAGATTTTTATCAAAAATATAGCCTAGACAAAAATTGTAGATCATAAAATGTCTACAAAAATTTTCACTATACTTGTTTTCCTATGAATCACCATTCTAAAAGTTGAAGGAGTTACATTCTACATGATATTCACACATTTCCACACCACCTATGAGGTAGTGTACTTGGCGGTTTTTTTTAAAGTGATATCCTCTGTAGGCCTATTCCACGATCTGTTATGAGGGGAGTTTTATGGGAAAATACTATATTTACTGCATGATATTGATATAGGTGATTATTTTAAACTGTAGTTACAATTTATGTTAATATTTTATTCATACTCTTCAAATTCTACTTCAACAGTCTTGTCTTCTTCGATTGCTTCTTTTTCTTTCTCTTCTTCTTGCTGGATGTCTATAAATTGTTCAACTGAAGATGAATCAGCAGTCTCTTCATCGATATCACACAAATCTTCGTCTATAACATTCGGCCAAGACTGGTTTTGGCAATTAGTACACGCTGGTGAACACAACCCTACTCTTCTACAGTCACATTTAGCACTACAACCTTTTTTATAATTGCAAAAAATAGTGTTTATGAGTTTTCCTGGAGCAGGTGGGAGGATAGTTTGAATCGGTTCCAAAATATTGTCTGATAATTTCCAACCCCAATCTTCGGGGTTTAGTTGATTGCCTAGGCATGTCTGAACTTGATAGAATGCTTAATACAAGTATTGATGAGTAGAAGCCGATGTTGGAGGAAGATAAGATAGTTGTACTTGTTTCTTGTTCCGTGTATTTTTTACCAAAGTTAAATATCTATACTTGTCTATATAATCAATTTTCTTTGGAGCTCCATAAACAGCAAGGAGAACGCGAATTTTTTTTTCATGATTATTGTTGAAGGAGAAGAGTCAATTTCTTCAAATACTCGAGCGCAATAATTTTTTTTAAATAATTTTAATACTGATGTTTTACCCCTTCTGAACATTACTGACGTAGTATTGCAGCCGGTTATCGCATGTAAAAATAAGATATGGTTTCGGATAAGTAGATAAACTTTATAAAGAGTATATTTTTGTTCGCTGTTGAGCCTTTCCAGGTTTTAGAAAGTAAATAATTTTATCAATTGGAGTCCATGCAGTAAGTAGTACTAACAAATAAACATCTTCACCAACCACAACAGTTGTGTTTGTTGCATTGAGTTGTTCAATTGCTGTTTCAATTATGAGTACATCAGCGTTAATTTGAGCTTGTTTAACTGCGATATTTTTAGAGGAAATGAAACGAGATTTATTTTATTCGTGAATTGAATCTGTCAATTTGAATCACAGTATTCATTTATACTTCAAAGTAAATTACTTTATACTCGTGCAAGTATCATTAATTTCCTAGACTTATCTGATTTTTGAAATATAAATATTGAAAGTTGATATTCTATAAAATATTATCCAATCTTATTTCTTGATGAATTAAATATCATCTTGCGGCGAAAAACAATATTTTTAAACATTCCCCTTATAAAACATGATTGTAACTCTTATAGTTATTGATATTAAGCAATTATCTTTAAGTAGTTTTGGCTTCAAAGAGTATTTACCAAGGTTCCAAAGATAAAATTGGTTGACTGCCATTTTCACATGCATTTGGTGCGGGTTTCTTTATACACACGCCTACTTCTACTATCTACTATCCATAGATAATTTTAAAGATTATAGAAAAACGTATTTTAATTTAAAGAATGAAGCAAATAATACTGCAAGACCTTGGAAAATAAATCCAGAATTTGATGATAACCAAAGATGAATCTAATATAATTTACGTATTTTAAGGCAATTACAAAATATTTTATATTGTAATTAATCAAATAGGAAGAAAGAAAGAAAGAAAGAAAGGAAGGAAGGAATGGAATTGTTTGTAAATAAATTTAGATTCATATTCCCCCAAGTTATGTTAAAATTTTGTCTGAAAATCGGCACAAATGTTACAGCAAATCATTTCAGCGATCTTCCTATGGCTTTTCCTTTGGAGATAAGTAGTTGCTTTGTGTTTACCATTAAAAGAAAAATTGCTTCACTATAAAATATAAAGGTATGTCTACCAATAAAAGAAAAAACTGCTTCATTACAAAATATAAACGACTACTCAGTTTTTGATTGGTTAAAATAATACTTTTGCTTCAAATTTTTTATGGAGGTAACAACAACATTATTATAATTTTCTGACATTGTTGCATTAGCAAGATCTTTTAAAAAAAAATGTTCGTTATCTAATGATTCCTCTCAAATAATTTGTATATACAATTTATACAGACACAAGAGAATTTTGTGAGATTTATTTTTAATTTTATACTCGAATAATATTTAATTTTTTTCTTTTTAGTTTTAAAGAATATCCGTTTTCTGTTTTTATATTTTACATATAACATGATTTCTCTTATGTTTGTGAACCAATTTTCTTTTTTTAATTTTTGATTAGTACCTATTAACGAGCTTTAGTGTTATCCATAAAAAAATTTGGACATAGTTAGGTTTTTTCCCAACCTTCGATATATCAAATCCATTGATCCACAATTAGAATTATGATTGTCTAATAAAATTAGCCAATAGCGAACATGAGTACCCTTTAATTGCGAACCAACATGGACAATATTACATGGACGGATAGAGGATCGTGAAAAGTGAAAAATTTGTTTTCCAAATTATACCACTGTCCCCTCTACTTACTTCACCCACGGTTGTATAGAGGACCAAAATGTAAGATATAATCTGAGTTTCGTTACTACCTTTCCCTTCCAGAAAAAAGTTTACACTTGATTTTATAACGGATATTAATGATTGGAACAGTATTATATTGTCTGGACGTTTATTGGGATGGTCCATTAAGATCCCTAGAATATGTTTTAAATATAATATAAAGTAAACGGAAATAAGAAGAAATGTGAACAAGAAGAAATGTCAAGAAAAAGAAATGTTAAAAAGAAGAAAAAGTTTATTAATCAGAATCGGTTTAGCAAAAATCTATAACAAAAATGTGTTTCATATCAATAAATGAGGGTTTTTAAATTGCGACTTGAATTGAACTATGTTGTATTATGAGTACATACTACATAATATAAAAGTTTATGGTCAATGAAGGAATGTATAAGAATAAAAGAAATGTTAGAAACATGCAAATGCATAATAATATGCATGTTTACCTCAAATTTTCAATAATGGTTATGGTCGAATTTCGACCACTGGACGAACACTAGTAAATATACGTATATAACTCTATTTTGCTACATTATGACCCTTTTTTAAGATGAAAAATATATTTTATAAGAGGCCCATAGTCAATACTTGCTTTAGGCTCCACAAGTTGTCGCTCCGTCACTAGTGTTACCCAAGGGGGATATTTTGGTAAGATCCTATTATAAAGTTGTTTTATTGTTTTTAATAGGTGTTTTATTTCGTAAAGAAATCTAAGCAGTAGGTAGTATAATAATTATGCTTCTTTTGATTCTTATAAAACTTTGCGAGATAATACCGATTTAAAAATAATAATAATAATAAAAGTTGAACAAAAAGAGATATTGATTAAATCCCCTTTCTTCATTATTTTATTCATAAATATATTTTAGAAGGATTAATTTTAATATTTATAATAATTTTTTAACACTAAGAAATTGGACCTTATATTTTTATTTACTTTTCATGTATTTTTTCCAGTGAAACTAGAATACCAAAATAGTAATTCAGCACTTTAAAATACTAAAAAAAAAAAATGTTTTTCTAATTTGGGCCATTTTAATCTATTATAAAATATACAGAACTGACGAGATAATAATGTAGTAAACATATTAGTAAATTGAATGAGTAAAACCAAATTTGGTAGATTTTCACAAAACTTTTATTTTAAAAAATAAAACTTTAAAAATTTTTAAAAACACTATTAATGACATGTTTCGAAGTACAACTTCTTTTTCAAATGTGACTAATTTACAATTCGGTATCCAATATATATGCGAAGTAATTTAACAAAACAAAAAAAAAACCAAAATATTAACGTAACTTTTAAAACCAATAATACGCTTGGAAAGTATATTAAAAACAATAAGGGTAAAATTAATCCTAATAATAAATCGGGGGTATATAAATTAAATTGTGGTAGTTGTCCAAAATTGTATATTGGTCAAACAGGCCGTACTTTCAAAAAGCGCTATTCCGAACATTATAATAGCTATACAAAAAACAAAAATAATACTACTTACACAAATCATATTTTAGCTGAAAATCATTCTTTTACAGACAACTTTGAAATTTTACATATAGAAAATAAGGGCATTAAATTAAACCATTTAGAAACACTTGAAATAAATAGATTTAAAAATTCAGATAACCTACTAAATGATCAATTAGATTTTAATAACTCACCCTTATTAAATCTCTTTCCTAGTTTTCTGTGAGATAATCCCGGTAATGTTACTATCTTATTGTTATCTGATTGATATCATAATTACTTAAGTACCCTTACTTACTTTAAATAGTCAGTTTATTTTGTTATGTTATTGATGTTTTCTTAATTACTTTTTGTTAAATTACTTCGCATATATATTGGATACCGAATTGTAAATTAGTCACATTTGAAAAAGAAGTTGTACTTCGAAACATGTCATGTATAGTATTTTTAAAAATTTTTTAATTTTTATTTTTTAAAATAAAAGTTTTGTGAAAATCTACCAAATTTGGTTTTACTCATTCAAGATAAAATGGATTTTCATCAAGTAAAGGCCAAAACAATAAATAATATTAGTAATGTTATTGTTGGACCTTATATTTTAATTGTGCTTCATGTATTTTTTCCACTGAAGCTAGAATAACAAAATCTTAATTCAGAACTTATTTAAATTGCTAAAAAAATGTTATTATAAAATATAGAGAACTGCTATTTAATTGCACTGAAATATATTTAAAATACTTGTTTCTTTCACATATAGCATTAAAATCGAACAATTATTTTAAGAATATTGATAAAAAACGTTAAAAGAGTTTCCGCGAGCAACGATCTTATTTATATAATTTTCATCAAATTTTTAAAAATGTCACACATCTGTTACTGTTAACAATTTGTATATTACATAAAAATCATCGTGTAAATGTTACAACTTGACAATTCCTTTGCGCTATTTCACAATAGAAACCAAAAAATAAAGTTGGGACACACCTTAAAATTGTTCATCTCGCTATTTAAAAATAAAAAAAGCAAACAAATCTTAGTGCATTGCCTGAATATGTGATGAAACATACAAACATAACACCCAAATATTGCAGAAATTCCATCTTGAAAATCTCCAGCTTTGGCTAAATTTTCTACTAGAAGTTTAAAACATTGAAATCGCCTAATAACAACTGTAATTTATTCACATTATTATTAACAAAGTTGAACTCTAGTTTTAAAATAACCAATACGGATTTTATATTTAAAAGTTTTCCGGTGAGATGGGATCTACTTTAAAACTGTCTCGCGTTCCTGATATCGTTAATTTCAGTAATTCGCAACCAGCTTTTTTCTTATTTTATTTTTAAGTTTAAATTGGCATTCTAATACTAACTTTATCAATTACTAATGATACAAATTAAGTAAAATGCTGGTATATTTTTTTTTTTTGAAAAAAAATCTCACTGTGGAGCGCCTATATTTTATATATTGAAAATTGTTTCTTTAAATTTCCATTTGATTAACCAGACCTATTAAAAGTTGAAGGTTATCCAGATTTGAACATTAAATATTTTTTATAAATTGTTATAAATGAACCCTCCCGAAACAGTACATCATTGTGTGTTGTACCCTACCCTTTTACATTACACTTGTCCGCAACATATTTTTGACGGTATGCTCTTCCAATGTTGTCAGATCTCTTTCGTCAAATATCAAGCATTAAATTTTTATTAAAAAAATTACTATTCCCTTTAATATAATCTAATAAAAAAGGAAATAAAAATTGAAAACATCATTATTAGTTTTTTATTAATTACAATCACTTAAGACTTTTATTTAGCTATTTTTACATGTGTATCATATGAGAATATTAAACATTATGGTATATGTCCTTTAAGTTTGGCAACCTTAGACATTTTGCTGATAATGTCAAAGTGACAGATTAAGTTTTATTGTGATTTTTTGTGGTTTTTTGTTGTTTTCAAGAATAATTTAAACCCTGAACTTTGTAATAAGGACTTTTACGATAGGGATGAAATGTGTAGTGTGCCGAAATACGCAGAATAAAGGTTTATTTTTACTTTAGGTCAAGCCGCGATCAAGTCTCGGTCCGATCAAAAATGATTTCTCATAATTTTAATACTTTTAAATGAGTTTTCTTTTAAACCGTTCACACATGCCGGTCATCGAACAAGCAGTCACCGTCAAGTCACGGGCCGATCATTTCCAACAATATTGGACCGGACCGTGACTGTCCGTTGACCGCAGACCGTCTAGTGTGGATGCTCAATGACCAACCAGTCAGACTAAAAAGCAGGCTGTCAGCTGTCAACAGTATCGAAAAGGATAGGGTGATTACTGTATATGTTTAGAATTTCTTTAAAATGGCTGTTGTAAAAAAATTTTCATTTGAAAACTGAAAGTTTTTGAGCTGGGGAAATCGCTTCCCTAATAGGGTACAATTTTTTTGTAGTTCATCTTCAATTGTCAAAAATATGTTTTTGAAATTCTTTAATTTTCATTCCATAATAAACAAAAAAATTTGCAACGTAGAAAATTCGCCTTCGATTTAATCTTTTTTTTAGCATTGTATGTACCCAAAATCTTCTTTTTCTTTAATTTTTTATATTTTTTTTTTCTGTTCTTCTTCCGCATTCAAAATAAGTGCGATTTTAATTATAAATCGCGATGCTACAAGCAAAAATACTCTAAAAAACACTCATGTACGATTCCCTGCTGTACGTTGGAAAAACTGGTCGGATATGACGATGACATGACCCGATAGTGTGAATGCTTTCAAAAAGATTTGATCGTGACCGAACCGTGACTTGATCGGCTAATGTGGATAGACCTTAAGAATGTTATTCGGTAATTGCATAAGTAAGATTAAGGGGTTTATGATTGACAACCTGTGTTATTTTTAACAGGTCTGTTATATTATAATCACACAGAAATAACAACCTGTTCACAAATAACATGTATGTTAAAAATAACATTACTTGTCCATCATAACCCCGTATGTTAGCATAGACGTAGGCATATACAGGGAATAAGGTTTAATTTATTAGAATCTGGCTGCAAAATCTGTCTAGCGGAGGAAGACATTATAAAAATGAAAGAAGCCTTAGTATGTTCTGACTATTTTTGTATAGCAGATATTTATAAAAATTTAAGTAGTAGACACATCTTAAAACATAATGCTATACCTATCAAGTAAGTACAATATTTATTATGGGTATTTTTATATGTAAGCTCTAAAATTATACAGGAATCATCACATTACAAAAAGCTTCTAGATTTGTAGTTACTGTTTGTAGTGAAGCTGAAAAATATATAAAACCAGTTTCAATGAACAGTAATAAATAATAATAATATTATTAACATTGCCAATATAAAATGTAAATTAATAAATAGTTCTGAGATATTTGCCTTCAAATATTTTTGATGTTTTTTCTAACAATATTTTTGATTTTGAACCACTGAATGACCATTGCATTACTGTCACGAAGCTCATTTTAGATAAATATGTAGACATTCAACTTCATCATGAATTTAATAAATTAAAACCTGTTAATAAAGCCAGAGTGAGAAGTTTACTTACAAAAAGCATTTTATGTCAGAATTAGTAACTTTTAATTTTAATTATTTGCTTTTATAATTTTTTGTCTATTTTTAAGTAACTGGTTCCATAAAATGCTCTTATTCTTTATGTAAAATATTTTAAAGTCCATCTACTAACAGTATATTGTGCCCAGATGATACTAATTTTATCATTGAGGACAATTGTTTATAGTAACTACATTGAACAAAAGTAAACAGATAGTCAAAAGATTCACAGGTTATTGTTTGGACAATGGCCTAGTAATTAATTTAATTAATTCCTTAAAAAAAATTTTTTTTACGATCACTATCCAAAGTAGTTTTGCACATTCAAATCTAATTAGAAAGTTGACGTTTTTCGGGAATTATTATAATTTGACATTATTGGCGTAAACGTACGCAAAAGTAACTTTGGCACACACTTGTTTTCATTTGAATCAAATAAATGAAAGCTAATCGGTATTTTAAAACAAAATGTAAGCTAATCTAAAATATTAAATTGACTTCCTAATATTTTAAATCATTTAACAGTATTTTCTGTAAATAATTAAATGAATAAATCATAAATAATTACTGACACATAAGTACTAAAACCTTCTATCTTCGACAGATTGCCGTGCTCCGCTAACGCGTCGCCCGCCAATTTTCTGTCTCAACTGCCAAAGGTGCTACTTTATATTCTTAATACACAAATAGCTATTTTGTCTTTTATCCCAAAATATGCTTTACAAAATATAAGTTATCTTATAACACTAAATAAATCTATTGAACAGGTTCTTCATCAAGAGTTTGTAGGAGTAACCATTGATAGTAAAATGACATTCGAAATGTCACAAAAGAAAAGAAGCTTCTTTCAGTTTTTTTTTTATTCAGACAATTTAGAAATACAGTCTCTCTTGACAATCTTAAGCTAATGTAGTTTAGCCTTGTCCAGATATTATAATATAATAATAAGAATAATACTCTCCCTAATTCACCCCCTTACGAGTGAATTTCAACCCCAGAAGTCGACTGAACGACTTGTGTAGGGGAAGGGACGGCTATTATTATTATTTGACGTGGCGCTCCTGGGCGAATTAAGGATGATTGATGGTGCCATTTGACTTACAGGTGAGGAAAACTCGGAAAACCTCACCCACCATCATCGAGACGATAATGTATGGCGATTTTATAATCTGCATGTCATGTCAACAGAAATTGAATTTTCATTAATACGGCACACATCAAATCCTAAATCGAACCATGCAATTTAATTAAAAATCCACATGGTCTGGTCTGGGATTCGAAGCCCAGCAGTCTCGGACTCATAAACTCGCCTATAAATGAATATAAGCGCGATAGACCGCTACACCATCGACCCGATAAAAATCGTTGTTGATTACTCTTCTAAATGAGTTATTATACCATTATACAAATAATGCTAAAAATAGGTGTCGTGACATACAATCCAAATGGTATGTAATGAAAAGATCCTATTTGTATATTTATGTGTCTGAAATAAAATTGTTTTATTTTTTTAATAAGTTTTTATTTCATAAAACAAAATAGTCCGCAATATAATTATTCTTTTTTCGACCTGTAGAAAAGGATTTCTGACAATACCCATGTAAAAATAATAATAAATGGCTTTATATTTTTATTTGCTCTTCATGCATTAAAAAAAAAAAGATAATATATAATAAAATACTAACAAAAATGTTCTTCCACTATTTTAATCTATAAGAAAATATATAAATCGACTTTCTAAATGCCCTGTATGAATTGAATATGTTTTCTTTAAATTGATTCCGAAGACCCATAGGTTATTGATTTGGTCATTAAATAATTTTTATTAAAAATATATGTAAACCTCCCGGAACACTACGTCTATGTGCGACGTACGATTCCCCTTTACCCGTCCGGTCTATTTTAGATAATGTGATGTTTATGGTTTATAATCCGGACAAAACATTGTTATTGTCCAGTGACCAGTGATACTCAAAGTGTGTTCCGCGGAGCCTTGGGGATCCGCAAAGCCTTTGTGGCGGCTCCACGAAGAAAATTAGTTAGTCACCAAGAGAAAGGAGGAGATGATTTTGCTTGGGGACCTTTTTTTTTATTTAGAAATGTGTTTAGGGCTCCGTCAAATATTTCTCTTTTCAAAAAGGTTCCGTCGCTAAAAAAGTTTGAGAAACACTGGTCTAGACAGTGCATGTATGGGTTGTCATATTCATAGTGTTGTATTTGAGCAACTATAGGAGTCAATTATTGTAATTAGTAACTTTTATTGATTCTATATCATATGAAAACATAAAATTATTTTATCCCACTTTATTTTTTTTTTTTTTTTTTTTCTATAGAGCACTTCCTATTTAGTAACCGACATAAAATGTTACCTATACAATTTTAATTGTTTATTATCAACTTTATATAAAAATACT